ATCAAGAAATTAAAGTAAAACAAGTAGAGATGGAATTTTACTTGGTTTCCAAATAAAGCATTCTACGGCGCATTTCGTTTTTTTCAATAAACATATCTAACAAAAAATCCATTATAAAATCCAATAAACATATCACCAAAAAATCCAAGACTCCGGGTATCCATTAAGCACGGTACATTTTTAAAACGTTCTTAAGACGTTTTAAAAACGTACCGACTTTTCAAAAACGTGCAAAGAACGTTTAAAAAACGTACCGTGCTCAATGGGTATTTTTTTATGAATTGTTATTATTATTGGTGAAACAGAGTTCAGCCTTTTCTGGCTCATAGTCGCCCGAAGAAAAGTTTTTTTGTCTACGCAGACTACTAAATGATTGTTCTGCTATACAAGTTGACACTGGCTGGACCAGAATTTTTAGTTATGATAGCAGTTAAGTCTTCATAACCTAACTGCTATCATAACTGTTATCGTCAAGTGAACTCACCGCTACTTTAAAATTTGCATAAAATAAGCTTCACTACCGTTAAGTCAAGTCCACCAAAGTATCTTGTCTAACTGGCTTTCTTAAAAGATTTTGTAATTAATGCTTTTTTTTTATTTGAATCTTAAAATTTTATTTGATATAAAGGCTACACAAAAACAAAAACGTTGCTAAAAGTGACTTTAAAAAAATTACTTTAAAGCACAAGTATACAGCATGAAAAAAATCTTAAATTGAGATCAAAAGATTATTGGAAGTTTTATTTTATCGAAAAAACGTCATTTTTATCTGAAAAAAAAAAGATATCTTTATAACGATTTTTTTGGGTATGTTTATAGCAACCATAGGCGCCCGCAGAAATTTTATAAGGGAGGGGGGCAAAACATTTTTTGTGATTTTTTTTTTCTCCTGCTGCCCATTATATAAAAATCAAGATATATAAGATATAAGATAAAGAGAAGAATAAAATTTTATGTCCGTGGAACAAAGAAGACAATTTAAACTTGTCAGCACCATTTTTGTACATAAAATATTCACATTTTTTTAATGATCCTGGTACCACCTGGTAAGGAATTAAACAGACATTGACTCCAAAAAAGATGAAGATGATAATACGTTATCGTAATCTTTACTCAGAGCCTCCATATAAAGTTTTTTTTTAGTTGTTACTATATAAATATGCAAAATATAATGGCAATTAAAGATTTTAATTATAAGTAGTTGATAAGCATATCAAATAGAAGCAAAAAATTTAAAATTTAGCTGTAGTTTACTGAGCGTATTGTTATGGTAAACAGACGACTAGGACACTGTAATAAATAACGGCAGCAACTTTTATTGACACAATGCATGTGTATAGTAAACGTAGTACATAAAAAAAAATTACAACATTTATTTAAAGTCAAATTTATTCTTTAAACAGGAACTGGAGTCGTCTGTTATCAATACCAAACATACCTATAGGTTTATCTGTAAAATACTTTTTGTTGCAGTTTATTTTGTCTCTATGTACGCTTAACATGCACAAACCGGAGAGACGGTCATTTGACATTGTTGACCTAAGCCATGTTTTGACACTACACAATGTGCTAAACGATCGCTCCACCATACATGTTGTTGCTGATAAAATTAACAAAACTAATAAGGCATACCTGACACTTGAATAAAATTGTGTGAAAGGTAGTAAATAGATAAAATCTAGGCTACTTTTGTAGTCTTACGTATTCCAAAAATCAAACCAACTCAAGGCTTCAGTTTCAAAATTATCAATGTTGTATACTTTATTAATCGTAGAAATATTTTCTTTAAAATATTGACGACTCTGTTTGTACAACTTAGACGGAGAAGAAATACTAAGTTAAATTGTGCGCTATTGGGTACACAAAATCGACTCTCCAAAAAGCCAATTTTGTGTAGCCGATTATAGAATCTAAGTATGGAATGTAAACCGTTTGTCTAAAGAACTCTTCAGCACTTATGGTTCCCGGATTACTTCAATGCTTTTGTTTTCCGCACTGTCTTGGAATTATCAGTTCAATAGTCATCTTCTGTGCCAATTATGCTGTTTTCTCAAAAATATCCTTGAAACAAATATTGGACTCACCTCTATGAAGTTTTACAACATTAAGTAATTTTTGAACTTGCAGTTGGACTTCTGGAAGATCAACTTGAACAGCTGGAAGAGCCTGAATAACTGGAATATAAAATTACAGAACTCTGTAATGTCTTCAAATTTTGATTTTATATTCCAGAGTTTTATATTTAACTTTATCTTTTGAAAAGGTAGTGTGTAAACTTTGAAACATGTTAAGATTGAAAAATATCGTGTTTTTCTTACAAATAAGTATTTAATTATTTTAAAAAAAACTTAATAAGGTTTTTTCCGAAACCGTAACAAAGTATCACTGAAAGATATTTTTTACAGAAAAATTTTGTTAGAAACTTCATGAACTTTTAGAACGTTACAAACAAGAAACTTTTTTGCTATATTTAGAAAATACAGGGAGGAAGGGGGGCAAGTCCCTCTCTTGTCCCCCCTTGCGGGCGCCCATGATAGCAACTATTTATTTTTTCACTTTTTACGGGAAAAACTTGGTTTCTTTCTCTGTGATTTCTTCCTCTGTTTAAAAATAAAAAATCGAAATAGTAATTATTATAAGATTGGATAAATATTCAAGCGGAGCAAACGAATTTTCAAAAGGAGCAAGGTTGACTCAAGGGGGGGGGGGGGTAGCTTGCCCTTGTTGCACCCAATTAGAGATGTGAGTCGTTTTTTGGTTGTTGTTTTTTTGGCCAAAAAACCCAACTTCTTCGTTTTTTTTTTTTTTAAATTACTCTTTTTCTTATTTTTAGACACTAAAACAATTTTAAAAATTTGTTTCTAGGTGATATTTATTAGAAGAGAGTTTTTACTCTTTTATTTAACATATGATTTTATTAGTATTGCCTTTGAAGTTCTTCAAGTAGCAGATCCCCACAAAAATCAAAAAAGTTTCTCAAATTTTTTTATAGGTAATTTTAATGAAGAATTTAACAGAGATTAGTAATATGAAAACTGTTCTTTTAATTTAATTTAGTTTTTTAAACAGCTCATTTAGTGCACCATAGTTTTTCAGACTTTCTTTCTTTTTCTTTTTTTTCTTTTTTTTTTAACTATTTTAACACTTTTAGCTTTAACATTTAAATAAATATTACCTAAAAAGTGTGTTTTTTAAATATTTTAAATATTTATTAAAGACTTTGTCATTCTCCTATTTAACATACCATTTATCTGTCTTGTTTTACAAGTTCTTTAAATGGTTCATCAAATAACTTTAATAATTATTCTTCAATGACTTACTTATAATGAGATAAAATAAAATTACTTTTTTCTTATAAAATACAGAGACATCATAAGTAAAAGAGATTTGTCTTTTTTTGTTTGTTATTTTATGTAAATATGTTTTTTGAGTTCAAAACAATTTTTCCTTACTATTATTATTATTATTATTATTATTATTATTATTATTATTGCTATTATTATTATTATTATTATTATTATTATTATTATTATTATTATTATTATTATTATTATTACTATTATAGGTAAGTAAATAACTTTTACAATTATTTTTTTCTTTAGGTGCTGCCAAAAATTTGAAATACTTAAAAGGTTGAGAATCACTGCTCTATCGTCTGCTAACCCTTTTTATGGGCTGTCCATAGCACTCAACAATTTGTTTACACCTAAAAATATATTAAGTTGATAATAATGCCAAAGCAAAGAAAATCCGCTAAAACAAAAAATGCGCCACGTACGTCAGACCCTCAGAAAGAAGTCAAAGCTGTAGTCGAAGGTTGTCGTACTAGCATTATTATGATAGATAAGTTTATTAATTTCCTTGAAGAAAAAGTAAAGCAAGAAGAATACCCAGATTTAGATTTTATCAAGTCCTATCTAATGGGGTTTCGTCACTTTTTTTATAATACAAATTCTTATCGTATAGAACTCTATCCATCAGTTACAGAAATGCTTGTTGACCAGATTTCACTATCAACAGAGCTTGGACCTTTTTTTCAAACAGAGAGTGACATTACTGATTCGCTTTATTATTAGTACACAATTGGATGCTTTTAAAATTGCCAACTCCTGTTGCGTTTGCATACAGCATATCGTTTTGAAAGCATAATTAAAACAATTTAATATAAACACAAACAATATATATTTTTACAAACAAAAATGAATTTGATATTGTTTACTTGTAAAGTAAAAATATTATCTTATTTTATATAAAGATTCTTTATTATTCTATTGTTCTTATTTATAATCGGTATAACTTTTCACTATTACAAGTTATGATTGGTTGATTATATGACTTTTGAAAAGTTATTCAGCTTTAAACTTGAAACAAATAAAAAATTATAATGCTAATTGAAATTATAATGAAAAAAGAATCAAACATTAGGACTAGTTTTGACATTAAATTTTAAAATATGTTTTAGATTCTCCAAATATTTTTTTAACTGCGAAATATTCTGTTTTTGTTTTTTTTTACCTGCTATTTTTTTTGTTTTGTTTTTTACATATAAATTTCTATTGTTTCATAACACATAAAAATAATATGGGAGTCACATTTTAAAGAAAAGTTGTTGGTCTTATTTATTTGAATAGTTTAAGTTTTGTCATTCAACTATTATATAGTTTATTTTTATTTATTACATTTTTTTCTATGGCATCATTTTTTTTTCTTTCAGGTAATAAATTTTAGATAACAAAGTTTTTGAATGAATAAGTTTGGTTATTGTGCAGTTAGCAATCAAAATGTTGAATTAATTTAGTAAAACTGGAAAAAAACCTGATGGATGTTTGGAGTTCTTTAATGCATATATACTGATAAATTTAATACTATACTGATAAATCTATTCTTTTTATCTATCAAAATTTTCTATTAAAATACTAATATATAGCATTTTACTACATAATTTTAATAATTAATATAAGATAGTTGATAGTTTTTTTTTTTTTTTTTATATTTTTGATATTAACAAACTTGAATCATAAAGCTATTTTATCAAAATATGTTTAAGGGTGAATTGGTGCTGTCAAGTTTCAGGTATTTGATTATTTGTTAATTATTTTAAATCAAAATTAATAGTTTTAGAAATTGATAACACTTTTTTTTTGGATTTTGTTTATAGTACTTTTTTACTGATCATTTAACGTTTTAGAATTTCTGAACTTTTTTTGGGTAAAGTGCAGAACTTTTAGATTCTTTAAAACATTTTCTCCCAGGACTACTCAAATTTTTTTTTTTCAGTTCTATAGCCACACAAAGGTGATTCTTGCATTACGTGTGTGACTCTGATACTCATATTTTCCAATACAAAGGGCTTTAAAAAATAGTTTACTAAAAATATACAAAATATATATTGCAATTATTATAATAGGAGATGTGATATAAAATAATATTTCTCTTAATAGTATGTATATTGCACATATTAATAAAAGAACTGATTAGTTGGATTATGTGTGTGATGCATATTAAACTATATAATTGAATTTTAACTTTGATTAAAATTTTCTACTAATTGGCCATTATTAGTTAAATGATTTATTTTAATATACAGACAACGTTATTGATGTTTTAAAAAAATACTTTTATTTTGCATATTTTAATTAACTTTATAAAAATAAATGAAAAACTCAAGTGTTACTTGTGTGACAAGTTTTGCTATGTGTGTGAGGCGCTGTACAAACTTTAAAGAATTAAAAAAAAAAACTTTTTTGACTTAGTTAACAAACTTTAAGTAAAGATTAAATTATTTTTGTCATTATTATTTTTCACTTTTATTTTATGGCTTTTTTAAGCTTTATTTTATCAGGATACACAAGGTACAAGTTCTGCACAAGGCACCAATCATTAATAGCCATATCTAGAGGTTAGGGAATTATTTCGGAAGCTTGCATGCCATTATTATAGTTTATTTGAAAATCCCATGACTTAAAGTCATTTGTTATGAAAATGACATGCATTTGTTAAAAGAATACAAAAAACATATTGACATGATGTGTTTTTTGCATTCCCCGTGATTTGACTTCTAACCAAGGTTTTTTGTTATTTATTTTACTAATAATTTAATTATTGCTAATATAGAGAATATTAGTAGCTGTCAGCTACTAATATTCTCTATTAATGTTTTCAGAATGTTGATAAAATCCATAGACATTTGTACACACACTTTCTCATTGTTGCTCATATATTTCATTTGAACAAAACACTTGGCTCTTTTTCCAACACCATCTAAAACTAGGGTTTCTGAACACTGTTTAACAGTAACAGTAATACAGCTGTTTTTTTTTACCAAAAAACAAAAACAGCAAACAGCTGTTTTGACTTTTTTACTGTTTTTTTAATTGAAATAAGCGACAAAAATTAAAAACTTTTTTTATACATTTGCAAAATGATTAAATTCTGTTTCGATATTATAATGATTTTTAACTGCTTAAAGTTTCATTCAAACCTGAAAATGTTTGAATTTTTTTATTCAAACACTTTCAGATAAAAGTTTAATTATTTATATTTTAAAAATTAACAATTGCTAAGAGAAAAGTTTCTTTATTAACAATATAACAACACGTTTATTAAAGCAATTTGAATGGTCATTTAATTTGATTTATTTTTCAATAACAGTTTAATAAATAGTTTAAAATATAGGATGATAAGTAACTTTAATAAATAACTTTAGTTCAGTAGTTATCATTTTTTTTAAAAACACAAAGCTCACAGCAAGTACTCCTATTTTAACAGTTTTCTATTTAAACAAGTTTTCTATTTTAACAGTTCTTTTTTACTAATCTAGTACTAAAAGTTTTAAAGATTTCTTAAGAGTTTCTTTAGAGTCATAAATAGGGCTTCTAGCACCAGTTTCTTATTTTCATTGACTTAAATGAATAGTTACTAGTTATGAATTAGTTTTTAATGGTGGGTAAAATGACTACTTAATATCCTTAATTTCTATTCATAGTATTAGCAATGTCAGTCTGGATATACACAACAAAATGGAAAAATCCAATTACAAAACAGTTGGAAGGATAGTGTCAGCGTTGTGACAAAATAATAAAATGCTCAGGAAATTCTATGACTACCTTACAAAATCACTTAAAAAGTCTTGGACTTTGTTTAGATAAGGTAACAGAATCAATCATAGTAACAGATGAGAGAGCAAGCGAGAAGAGACAAAAAACTGCTGGCGACTTCTTTGCGCAAAAGAAGCTTCAAAATATTGTTTCTGATTTGGCTACGGATGGCATTTCAGTTCGAACTATAACCAGAAATAAATACATTCACAATAGCTTGTGATGGATTTAAACTCCCCGCTAAGGAAATTGATGTAATGAAACTTTTGCACAAAGATTTTGATGAAAAGCAAAAAAAAAAAAGATTGACACCATAAAATTAAAAGTAGCCAATAAAGTGAAGTTTAGCATGACTGTTGATAAGGTTACTACTTTAAGAGGACGCAGATATTTTTGAGTTAATATTCATGATAAAACTGACAATATCATGTATAAAACAAGATTAATTTGAATTTTGGGTTCAAGCAGTTCGCTTGATATGGTTGAAATAATGAAACAACATCTAAATATGTTTGGAATATTGATGGAAAAAGATTTGGTTGCATCTCAGGGGTGTACACTCGTTTTTTAGATAGTTGAGTTTTGACACTTACAGGTATTGTGCAAACTCCAAACTTTTGTATGTTCATACCTATGCCAAATAAGAATGTTTTGCAAAGTATTGAAGTGATCGGAGCCTGGGAACAAAAAGCCCCTAATTTTTGTGCCCACACGGCCCTTAACGTGGGAGCAATGAGTTCATAAAATATTTTCTTTACTATTTTTATCTAAATTTACATTCATGAACAAATTTCAAATTTCATGCAATAATCTTTTAGTGTTCAGTTTTTATGACCCTGCGAAGTTTACAGGCCCCTCAAATTGAGGGGGTTAAAACTTTACATGGTCATAATTTTTGAATAAAAAGAGATTATTGCATGAAATTTCAAATTTGTTGATAAATATAAATTTAGATAAAAATAGTAAAAAAAATATTTTATGAACTCATTGCTCCCACGTTAAGGCCCGGGTGGGCACAAAAATTAGGGCTTTTTTGTTCCCAGGCTCCAATCACTGCAATTCTTTGCAAAACATTATTTGGCATAGGAATGAACATACAAAAGTTTGGAGTTTGCACAATGCCTGTAACTATCAAAACTCAACCATCTAAAAGACAAGTGTACATCCCTGCATCTACTCAAGATGGAGCAAAAGTTTGGAGTTTGCACAATGCCTGTAAGTATCAAAACTCAACCATCTAAAAGACAAGTGTACATCCCTGCATCTACTCAAGATGGAGTAAACAAGAAGTATAAACGAAATTTAGATTTTATTGGTCAATTTTGTCTAACATCATGACATACATCTTGGAGTATGTGACACACTTTATACAAAAAAACATGATATTGAAGATTTAAGCTACCCCTGTAATGACGATAACAATGAAAATAATTCTTTTGACGAAGGCACTAATTTTAAATTTATAAATGATGATTGCAAAGATTATATCGACTACAATAATTTACATAAGAACTCACGCAAACTGATAAAATACGTCAAACTGTCAAGTGTTCGAAATCAAGTTTTTCAATCAAAAGTCAAGGCTTTACATGGAAAAGAAATTAAACTTCATCTTGATTTAAAAACTCGTTGGAACACAATGCCAATAATGCATTGAGCCATTAATAAAGACAGAGATGACAATTCGAGAAACGTTATTAGAGTTTAAGCCAGGTATAAGTTTAGCCAATAATGTAAACTTCGATGCCTTGAAAGGTTTACTAGAGGCAATGAAACCCATTAAACTTGCTATACAATATGCTATACCTGAAAACAGGTGTCATGAATTTATTACGTTGTCTAAAGAAATCTACAATAACCCCATCCAGAGATACGATAACTTTAGCAGGAATGTTGGCATCTCAACTTTTTGGTGTTCATGACATTTATATTACAAAAGCTTTATGATGCATTATTAACAATTAAGCCCACATCTATGGATCTTGAAAGAGTATTCTCCGTTTGTGCTAACTTTAGTACAAAAAAAAGATCATGACTTTCAGATAAGTCATTATCAGCTCTTGTATTTTTGAAATACTATTATAAAGTGTAAAGTTTATGTTAAGATATATATTATTGGAAAAAATTTTACTATTGCCTGCTTAATACAAGGAGAATTGGTGGGGGTAATAAAGGTGGGTGGGTGCGAATTTCAAAAACAGAAAAACAGCTGTTAACAGCTGTTTTTGATTAATTATAAAACAGTAAAACAGGTGTTTTTTAAAAACCACTGTTTTTCAGAAACCCTATCTATAACCCCTTTTATATGAGAAGTTGCAAAATATTTTCATTTAAATCTTTTATTATATTGCAAAGGTTGGTTGAGTAATTCCATTGTAAACTAATTTTTAAATTCTTATGATAGGCAATATGTGAATAGAGTGTTCAGACGAGTATTTCATATAATTTCCCAAAAAAGCAATAAACACTATCTTTCCCCTTGTCTCTAGTGTTTGAACAGATGAGATACATTTTGCAATTATTGTTGTTGAAAATAACACCTGTGAACACTAGTGAACAGTGTTTTTACTCCAAAGTGCACTTCGTACTTCATTTTGAAATTTGCTAACATATGCCATTGCAAAATCCATCTGAAGAACTTATTTTTCTGCAATACCTTTGTTTTTTTCAAATTCAGCTGGCATTACCACTCCATAGGTTATTTGAAAAATAGAGTGAGCCTTTCTAGAAAGTATTTTCTCAGCTTCTAATTGCCATTGGCAAAAACATTCAGTTTTATTTTCAGGACTTTTAAAAAAACAAGTAGCATATATATATATATATATATATATATATATATATATATATATATTTTTTTTTTTTTTTTTTTTTTTCAATCTATTTTTCGGATTAATTTCTTTTATTAATTGAGTGAGTTTAGGAACATTTCCATGCTTGTCAATGAGTTGCTTTACATAAGGAGAAGAGGTGAGAATT